GTGGTTTATATGCACATCCATACACACATTGTGAGTATTGATTTACTATTAGCTTTTTGCTAAAGATGAAAACCTTTGTGCAACAGTTTGTTTATGCTTTAAAAAATTATTATTAATTTTTCATCAAATTTTTTTTGTAGAGGCAGTGTCATAATCACTGGCCACTAGCTAATCAAAAACGTTACACCAACATATTAACAGTTCCGAACAAAATGGTGGAAAACTACCTTAAACCAGAAATAAATACAATTGCTTGTTGATTAACTAACTGTGTTTTGTGTCAAATGATCCATGGATTATGTATTGGCGTTGTGGAAAAGACATGCAGTGACTGTAGGGCTGTTGTAAGCCAGGGATGCACTGATCTACTTTGTTCCACTTCGGATACAAATATCTGAGGTTTAAAATCGGCCGATACCGATCGGATACAGAAAGACAGGCTGAATTGATTTGTAATGCTTCTTTTTTTTTTTTGTTTTACCACACATAAATGTCCTGAATTAAAATTTAGCTGATAAATGCACCAATACAGCACACTTAAATACACCATGAGCTTCTCAAGCTTGGTACCTTTAAAAAATATATTTTTTGTAAAATACAGGTAAGGCTGGGACTTTAACGTATTAATTAACCACATAGATTTTAATGCTTTTAATTAAGGAATTTATTTGCCTTTTTGTTTGTTTGTTTTGTTTTACATACAAAACTCCAAATATGGAACCTTTGTCTTTCAGTTTCTGGTACGCCCGTAAATCTGACGCACAAGCGACATCCACAAAAAAAAAAAAAAATGTGATGGATGAAAAAGCTGCTTCACTTGGTCCACTGAGGATTTTTTAAAATATCTTTAACTGGTTTTGTTTCATCATTAATTTCTGGAGAAGTTCTTGTTATGTTTCCATGAAATTTAATTTAATTCTTTTCATACTCCACTTAGTACAATGCAACTAAACAAAAGGACTTCATTCCTGGTCATTCCTCGTAGCACGATCGTAACTCTTGAAGAAAGCTGTTTCCTCACATGACAAAGGAAAGCTATGTCAGAGCATCAGATGATAAGTGAGAGCATGTCGCTGGTTTCGTGGAATTGCTGCAGATAAGACTGAAATGTGTAGCTGTGTACAGACCGAGGCCAACCTCAAGTCTATCCAGACTATTGAAGGACATGTGATCTGCAGATAAGATGAAGCCTCATTGCAAGGACTATGATCCAAATTACACCAAATCCTGTCTGAACAATAAAGAACTCTTCTGCTAAAAGTCCGGCCAGTGACAAGACGGACCCCCGTCTGTGGTCTCCTGTTACTAAGAGAAAATGACTTAATATTTACCAATTAAAGACATGACTAATCTTCTCTTTGTGTATGGAACCTTAGTTATAAAACTTATTTTTTTTGCAACTTCACATGCTTTTTTTCCAGTTTCAGTTTTGTTTTTCAAATTGAAGATTTTTTTTTAGCTTCACATTTTTTTCAGTTTCAAACTTTTTTTGATTTTCAAAATAATTTTGTTGTTTCAGATCCTTTTCTTAAATAAAGGATATTATACTACTCATTTATAGTTGAAGCGAGATTAACTTATATGACACATATAAAATGAATTTTGATGGCACTTCCCTTCATGCTGCGTCCAAATCGATAACATTTCAGGCTTCAGATTGTTTAGATTTGAGCTACAAATTTCAACGGCCGAATCTTCCTTTAGTAGCTGAGGTTTTACAGCAGCGTCTTCATTTCATTCACGACCTGAAGACACAAACCCGATGTGAAGACGTGTAGGTGAGGATGCGTCTGGATGTAATTTGATGTTTTCAGGGTCTGTTTCCATGGCAGTGATGATGTCCAGTTTGCAAAAATTTGTTTTTTTAGAGGGCACTTAAAGAAATGCTTATTTAATGTTGTTGATTTAAATGCCAGGAAAATGAACTAAAATAGAGCTAAACATCGACAAAACCAAAAGCAATTCTTCTTCATCATTTTTGTGTTTCTGCCTAATGATTTGTATCACTATAAAAAATCAATTTGAGGTTGTAGACCTTATGTTTTGGACGCATTTTAAGAGTAATTAAGAAGAGTTTCCCCCCCCCGCTTCTTTAACCTAATATTTTTTTTCAGCATGTCTTCTGTAACCTTTTTCAGACTTCTAAAATTAAATTAACCTTTTGTCTTATTGCTCTGCTTTTTCCTTAAAACATCCTGTTTCCTCACTCTTGTCCCACTGTCTGAATCCTTACAAAGTGTAAACATTCAGTCTTCTTAAGTCTCCTGCATCACATCAATGTTGTCACTACATCTACTTTTGCACCTGCACCAGATTTCAGTAAAATTCTCTCCAACTAAATGACAACGACTTCCCTCTGCATTTCCGACACAGAGTTACGTTTACCGAGCGTTTTCTCTCCGATTTGTTCTCATGATTTGCTTACAGAACTGTTCTGGCTTCTGCTTACCCTCCTTCCTGTTCTGTGTCACATCTGGCAATGTCGTCCTTAAAGAAAACACAATTACTTACTCAAGTTCCCGTGAAGCCAACCCCCAACCACACTGATATATTTGGAGTTTGTGCTTGTCCACGTTTGACGCATTCAGCAGTGGTTCAGTCCTCTCCGCCTCTATGCACTGCCTGTCATTTTTACTCGCTCTTGATCCTGTAGCACATGAGCTCGTTGTTGGTGATTGATTCCCATGGTAGACCTCAGATCTTTTCAGACTTCACCCGTGTTGCCGATGGTGACTCTGGCTCAATACAATGCGAAGGGAGCTGATAAAAACGAAGCACAACTAGTAGCAACGGCATTTTGTGGAACAACTAATGTAGAGAAGTCTGTTTGGATGTGTAGTCAGAGTGGTGGGATTGTGATGTGATGCATTTCAGTGAAACAGACTTCTTTCATAATTTCACAATTCTAATTTGTAGCCATTGTTTACGTCTGGATGTACTGTGTCAGACTTCTTCTGGCACAGAATTATCATGCATGTCTCACATCAATGACATAAAAGTTGTGCAAAATGCGTCATGAACGTTCTGACAGCAAGCACTTTAAAAATACTCTGATATTTAGTGTGCAGCAGTGGCATAGGGGTAAAGTGTGTGAGCCATATATGGATGCCTCTGTCCTCTATGCTGCTGCCACAGGTTCGATTCCCGGCCCAGTGACTTTTGCTGAATGTCTTCCCCCTCTCTCGTAACCCACTTTCCTGTCTGACAACTCTCAGAGGCAGAAGCAACCTTTGAAAAGAAAATAAATATCAATTGGATATGTATCCAACTTAGTACCACAAATCAAACTTTTTTGAGGATGAAAAGATCAAAATTGGACCATTAGGTCTGCCGTGAAAAAGTGGGATATAAGTTGCATTTCCCTCCTATGTGAACATAGCATAAGACATTGAGGATTAAGTAGTTCTTAATCCAAAAGAGAGTCCTACATCGGTTGTACCTTGTGGCAAGGTCACATATAGCACTGATCACAAATGTCGTCAAACTAATAAATTTAGAACAGGGCAAAGCGGCTATTTTAATTTAACAAGAGTGGTAAGCCTGTGTAGTAAAGGAGCAGTACAAGTAAAACAAACCAATGAAAGTATGCCCAGATAACATAGCCAGTAAAAACACTTACCTTTCAACCAATGATGCTTTCTGTCCACTCAGCGTGAGTCCTCTGCATTTCAACTGTTGTTAAAGTTGCACCACGCTGTGCTTCTGTATCGAAGAGTACTGCAACAGATCCCCCAGGACGTTCTTATCTTCCAACATCACACACTCTTCAGATGTCGCCATTTAGTTTGCACTTTGTTCAAACATTCAGTCAACAGTGGTGTCATTTGCAATCAATGCCATTATAGATCAGGAGATGTGGTCAAGCATGGCAAAGTTGTTTACTAGAGTATGTACAATATTTGAGGACTTTATTTCTACATCAGCAATATTCCTTTCCAGTTTTGCTATCTGAGGCAGTGATGACTACTCAAACTAAGACTCTTGAGATTCTCAAAGTGTTGGTCGTTTGATGATGCTGTTAGAAATTTGTAGTGGGTACTTGAGATTTCATGTGGGCAAAAACACATCCCTTTTAGGCCTAATTACTTATGACGGATAGAGGCGTCATGGTGGGCGGTTGAGTCACCGCCTCCTACCTTCCTTACACCATTTGTGCACAAAGCCAAACTCCACCACCTTACACCCTGACCTTCCTTATCCCTAAAAAGTATTTGCTTCGCCCCAGAGACAGAATGTGTCTCCCTGGGCCTTTGTGGTGTATGAGCGCATCTTCTGTCTAAGACCCCTGCTTAAGAGACAGCCAGCTCACAAACAAGTGGATTTACAGAAGCTAATACCAAAACATGACACACAGAGCTCCTGCTGTGTCAGCTGCAGTTCTTCATGACATAATGCACCTCTTATTCCCTCTGAGCGTGACACTAACCGTGTCTGTGCACGCATATGCTAGGAAAGATGCACATGCAGCTGAGTTGCCATTCACACCTGAGTGACGCATGTGGTTTTTAGAAGAAGTGCGTGAAGACAAGACACACACACGCACACACACGTACCTGCAAGCACGGTGTGTGAGATGATCCCGCAGTGGGATTAAGCCGGTAAACCTGGCGGGTTCAGTCTGTGGCTAGGCAGCTAATACCCTCTAAAAGAGGTTTGCAGCAAACGGCTGCCGACCACTCTAGCTCCGTGAAAAATACCCATGACTGCAGCCTGGACCAGTTTAACCTCAAAAGCTGCAGCTACAGATTCAGATGGAATATTAGGACGGGAGAGTTTAACTCGGCACGTCTCCTTTCTGACAGCATTTGTTGCTGCGTGGACTTAAAACCAAAAGCAAGCAGAGAAGCACATTAGAAGCGGTAACAGACGGATTGAGCAAGACAAAAGCAATATGCCAGTATGCTTCTTGACATCAATGGTAAAATGGTGAGAGATGCTCACACTGTTTTGAGTTGTCTGTGTTTGTTCTCTGTTGATAATCGTTTCTGTTTCTTCTGCAGGTTTCTGCCACAGAAGAATGTGTGGGACCTATGAGGCTGACTAAGGAGCCGATACAGGTAAGAGCGTGTAGCAACATCTGCAAACACTAACTTTTATATAGTTTGGATCCATGTTTGAGGGCCACAGATTCAAGGCTCAGTCAAAAAAAAAAAAAAGTAGACCACAATCAATTTCATCTGCGCATTACAAATGATTTGGTTTATGACTCTTTAAATATGTGTGTGTGTGTGTGTGTGTGTGTGTGTGTGTGTGCGCGTGTGTGTGTGTGTTACTGTCTTTGAGTAATTTAATATGGAGGCCTTGCAAGATTATTTCTACGTCTTGAACATGTTTGTGTTTTGTCACGTGAAAGAAAAATTAAAAATATGTTGTTTAATTATTGATTTGGTATGTCTTCATAATTTCTGAGTTTATTTTTATATATAGGTGATTTTTTAAATGTTTTTTTTCTTTTACACAAAAGGTCAAATTCAGTTAGATAGAATGGAAAGCATCTGTGAATCTTTGTTTTCAAGTCTTGCCTCAGAATCTATATTATTTAGCCTGTACTTTGTTTTTTTGTATTTAAAATATCTTCTAGCTCCAGTGTAAAGTGTTTTTTACTAAATTTAAGTATATTGATCTGTGAGAGTGAACTTGTATTATTATGCCATTTTCAATATTGTTTATTGTTTATCACAATGGTTTCCGGGACAGTTTATAATCCAGCAAAATTTGTTAAGGTGGCAGGTTTACACTGTACACAGTGTAGTTTCCTCTTCGGTTCAGTGTCGGTACAGAGACTGCCCATTTCCAATTGTGCACTAAGTTGGGTTTAGGTAAGGTCCTTCTGCTAATGTAATATGGGAGAAAAAAACTAGGTAATAAAATTATGCAAAAGCCTTTAAACACTTGACTCTTAATTCAGCCGTAAATAGAAACTAAGTTCAACGCAGAGAGGAAAACAACCAAATCAAATCACAGTTTGTTGGGATAACTGATGGTGGCTTTACGGCCTTAAAGGGGCAGCATTATGCGTTTTCCATAGTATCATTTTATAGTACAATGAAGTAACTTCAGTTATATATGTCAAATATGACTTAAAAGAGTTTTGACTTTAATATTTAATGTATTGAAATTGGGCCTCTGTCTCTTTAAAACCTCCTGCTCCTTCTGAAACTCTACCTCCAGGAAGGCATCACAACATGGCTCCTCTATTAACTCTTTAGCAAAGTTTTTACCAGCATTTCTCTGAGAAGTAGCTCCTATAATGAGATCAGGCCATGTGCCGTTCCACTAGATGTTTGCTAGCTGAAGCTGGCTAGTCTGAAGGAGCTGTGTGGGAAGGTTCTGCTCTGTCAGGCAGAAGCCCAGAAGCTTTGAAACTGCGGATCGAGGTCCAACCAGACGTTTTGTACAGCTGAATAGTTGACATGGTAGATGAAAAAATTTCTCAAACATGCATGAAAGAATCAAAGCAACATTCCAGACATGCTCTGATCATGGTATAACATCAAAACATGATGTAAAGCTAAAAAAAATTTACATAACATAATCTAACTGGGAAAACGCATGGGGAAAAAATTCAGCTGAAGCAAGATAAAGATAAACATGTTTTGTTCCTGAGTTTGTCCTTAAAAAATATATTATTTTATTAGTCGCACCAATAAAATCTGGATTTAGTTCTTGCACATAAAAATAAAATAACACCAAATTTGTGATCCGTCCCTCGTGACCATCTGTTTTTTTTTTTTTTTTTTTTTTTTTGGAAAAAATTCCTTGGGTGCCCCCCTTTTTTCGGGGGGGGTTGGGCCCTTTTGGGGGGCGTTTTCC